GCCAGGTTGGATGGTGCTTGGAGCAACCTGGGCTAGTGGAAGGTGTCCCTGGGTGTCCCATGGCACGGGGTGGAATGAGATGAGTTTTAAGGTTCTTTCAGGCAAACCCATTCTCTGATTTTGTTTATTTGGGGGGGGCAGGGGAAGGAGGCATCTGTCATAAGTGAAATGTCTCCCTCTGAAACCTGCTGTTTGCAGCCTGAAGGTATTTGTTTTTTTTCCCCAAATCCTGTCTGTGTTCCTCCCAGTCCTCAGCCCAATAGCACGTTCTTACCTCTTCAACCCTCACCTTTCACCTTCTTCTCTATGACTCCCACATATTTCTGTGTAGGAATCCTCTGTGCCTGCTCTGCTTCTCAGGGAAGGACAGGCTGCTCTGAGCCTTCTCTCCCTATCCATACAAGCCCCTAATTCCATTACAGTCCATTAGCAGCTCCTCTCCCGCAGCTCCCAGCGGAGCACAGGGCAGAGACCGCAAGGAAACAAATGGCCCCTTTGAACAAATCCCAGGGACCTGTGCCAAGTGGGGATTCCCTTTACAAACCTCCTTCCTAATAAAGAGGTAAAATGGGAACAGGGCAAATATGCATTGTCTAATCACTCAGATTTAGCCCGTCAAAGGATTTATTACAATCTTCTGTTTCCATGTGTGGGGAATGGAATCTCACCCCGTGTGCCATGACTCACTGCCTGGGTGTTAGAGCAGGAAGGTGTCTGACAACCTCTAGGGCCACGCTGTGCCTGGGTGTTAAAGTCCACAGAATCATCAGAGCTGGAAGGGACCTTTGAGGATCTTCAGTCCAATTCCTGCCCTGCGCAGACACCCCAACAATCCTCCCTGTGCCTGAGAGCATTGTCCAAATACTCCTTGATCTCTGTCAGCCTTGGGTCTGTGTCCACTGCCCTGGGGAGCTGTTCAGTGCCCAAACACCCTCTGGGGGAAGAACCTTGTCCTGATATCTAACCTAAACCTCTCCTGCCCCAACTTCAGGCCATTCCCTCAGGTCCTGTCACTGGTTGCCATAGAGAAGAGGTCAGTGTTGCCCCTCCACTTCTTCCATGAGGAAGTTGTATACACCTGTGAGGTGTTGTTGGGAAAGTTCAGGTCCCTGTTCAGGCGCCATTTGTTGGGAAAGGTGAAAGTTCCACGCGGGGAAACAAACTCCGTGTGGGTGATACAGCAAGCTCCAACTTTATTGTCCAACAGGCTCTTTCTTATACAGTGCAGGACAGGCATACAACTATCAATCATTTATAATTGGCTAAGCTCTAAAGATAGCATTCAGGTACTCTCCCTACTTGCGGTTACAGCTGTGAGGATTATCTCTTACTTTCCCAGGCTTGGGTGCATTCCTAGCTGTTTGTCTCAAACTTGTTTGTCTCACCCTCAAGGACAACTTACCCCTGCCATCTGCCCAGCTGAGTTACTCCCTATCTATATATGTTACTATCTCCAGAGCCTTGCTTGTACACTGCATTCCCAGGTGCGTTCCCAGGACTGTGTCCATGCGTTCCCAGGGGACTGTGTCCGTGCTCTTTTTAGCCTTCCCCAGGTGCATTCCTAGGATTATGTCCCGCCATTCTCCAACAAGGTGTCCCCTCAGATTCCGCTTGTTGCTCAAATGCGTTAAAATGTGGCACCAGGAGAGGAGCAGATCTGTGCCATCAGCAGTCTGATGCTTCCAGCAGCTGCTTGTGCTGAGCTGGTGTGTCCACAGCAGAGATTTGGGGGAGAATGGAAAACCCACCACAGAATCAGTTAGGTTGGAAGAGACCACAGTGGGTCATCTGATCCAACCTCCCTACTCAAGCAGGGCCAGCGCGGAGCACATGGCTCAGGATTTTGTCCAGATGGTTCTGGAGTATCTCCAGTGAGGGAGAATCCATGACCTCTCTGGGCAGTCTGTTCAGTGCTCAGTGACTGCACAGTGAAGAAGTTCCTCATGTCCAGGTGGAACTTCCCGTGCATCAGGTTTTGCCCATTACCTCATTTTACTGGTTTCCACAAGTGAGCAGGGTCTGATCCATCCTCTTGGCACTTCCCATTCTCGTACTTGAATACGTGTTTCCATCAGTGCCACACCAAAGCTGTGCTCCCAGGGCCTGCCAGCGTAGGGTGTGAGTAGGGATCACGCACAGGGGATGTAGGAGATAAATGTCTTGAACCCTGAGTGTTAATTGCTGCTGCCTGAGAGCTGGAGCCAGGCTGTGTGTCCCTCTGCTGTGCTGGGGAGCAGAGCCAGTGACACTCCAAGCTCAGCAAGCAAAATCCTATTAAGATAACGTCACAGCCTTTCTGTTTTACTGTCTGCAAGCCAGCCATAACATCATTAAATTACACAACAGGGAGGTGCCTGCTGCCAAGGGGCTTTGCTCGAGGTAAGATGTGGGTTGAGCCGCTGCCAAAACTAGGGTTGATATGACAGGAAATTTGGAGCTGGTTCAAGGCTTGATTCACTGCAGACATTGCAGTGTGCAGGTAAATGATGGGCAGGATTGGTGCCTAGGGCAGTTTGGCTGTGCTGATCCAGGTCACAGTGTGGGTTGTGCAGGTATCTGGCACTGTGCAGTCAGTGCCTGGGCAGATTGGGGCTGAGGGGTGTTGTAGCAGCCAAATATACACCTGTTTGTGTGTTCAGTGCTGACAAGCAGCAGACGAAGCCTGGCAGGGTATGTAGGTGAAGCTCAGGGAACTCCTTACCTTCACCACCTCCTCCCCAGCCTCTTTGAGGTTGTTGGAAGCAGCCCAAACACCAGGACACTGCTCAGGGAAGTGCTTGTTTTGTGATGCCACAGCTGGACCAGCAGCAAAAGGAGTGAGGACAAAATGCTGCATCATGAAACCCCAGACAGCCTCTAACAGCCCTGAAAACAGCCTTGTTTGTCCCTCTACATCACCCACCACATCCCTGCCATGCTTGCCCATGTAGGCTTCATGCCTCTTGTGCCCTTTTTTGAGCCCTTTGTACTTGTTTCTGCCCTTTTGCTGCTGCAGGTGTAGGGGTTTGCTGCTGGGCTCTCCTGGACCCTCATGTTTCTCCATGCTGTTCTGCTCATGGGTAGTCTGGACTTCAGGCTACCTCTTTCAGTCCCCCTGGGGGGAACTCACCCAGCACCACCCTGACCTCACCAGCTCTCAGGGAACTGAATGGGGCTCGGACCAGCCTGGGATAACAGAAGGTGTCCTTGCCCATGGGGGACTGGATGGGCTTTCAGGTCCTTTCAGCCCAAACCATTCCATGATTCTATGATTCTATGATCATGAACATTGACCTTTTTCTCCTGCAGCATCTTCCAGGCAAGGAATCGCTGCCCAACCAGGGCTCTGGGAGCCTGAGCTGTGTGTGCAGAGATCTTATGTCACTCCATTCTCCAAGACAGGACGTCAGGAAGTAATTACTTAAAAATTATGCCTTACTAGCAGTTTTCTAAGCGTTTTCCATTAGGGAAGCTTTGTTCCCAGCAAAGGCTGCAGAGAGGCGTGAAACCTGCCCTGCCCTGGGACTGCCTGGCACTCCAGCACTGCTATTACTGTTCTCCCTCGTGGATGTGCTTCTGGCACTGCTGACTTTTGGGGTCCCAGATGTATCTCATCCCTGTGGCAGCAGCTCAACTACAAAGTGGCTCAGAAAGTGGCTTGGAATTCCTCTTACCAAGCTATTCTCCACAGAGCATGGAGCAATGTGTCCAAGTACATCTCCCAGCACTCTTCCATCCCAACAGTGGCTTTGCACATCTTGCCAATGGCTTTAAACTGAAGGAGGGCAGGGTTGGATGGGATATTGGATAGGAATTCCTCCCTGTGAGGGTGGTGAGGTGCTGGCATGCATTGCCTGGAGAAGCTGTGGCTGCTCCATCCCTGGGAGTGTTCCAGGCCAGGTTGGATGGGGCTTGGAGCAACTTGGGCTAGTGGAGAGTGTCCTTGGGTGGAGCTAGGTGGCCTTTAAGGTCCTTCCAACTCAATCCATCCCATGATTGCATGATCTACCCTGCAAAGGTCTTGTGGCTTACATGGTCCCATGGATGCTGCAATGTTTGTGCCTCTCCAGTGCCTCATGTCTTGGCCTGCTGCATCCTTATAATTGCCAAGTAATGTGCGTGCAGGAGATGAGACACTGTGCCATGGCAGGCGAGTCTTTGACCTTCCTGCCATTCCCCAGTTTCCGTAACAGCAGGATATTTGCTTTGTTGCCATAGAAAACTTTCCTGGGCAGGTTTGCTGGAGGCTGAGTTGTCAGTAAAACCATGAGCCTGAAAGGAGCTGTGTGTCCCTGAGAGCAAATCAGATGGTGTTTCCTGCCACCTCCTCGGGGAAAAGAAAGTGTTAGATTGACAGTTTTGGAAAGTGAAGTTTTTTATCTATCAACAGAGCATGGAGCAGCATGGCACAGCCATGGGGGCATGAGGGAGATGGGAGTGTTCAGTCTGGTGAAGAAGAGGCTCCAAGAGACCTTAGAGCCCCTCCCAGTGCCTAAAGGGGCTCCAAGAGAGCTGCAGAGGGACTTTCTCCGAGGGCCTGGAGTGACAGGAGAAGAGGGCAGGGCTAGATGGGATATTGGGAAGGAATTCCTCCCTATGAGAGTGGAGAGGCACTGGCACAAGTGGCCCAGAGGAGCTGTGGCTGCCCTGTCTCTGGATGTGTTCAAGGGGTCAGAAAGGACCATCCTTTTCCCAAGAGTATTTCCTGCATGCTTACATGTGAGACCTCTCTCCCAGCAGCTGGAAGGTGTCACTGCTTGGACTGTGGTTCCAGGATGGCAGTCTTTGTTTTCATGTAACACAGATGTTTATTTCCAGTGCTTTGGAATAACAAAAGCACCTAGGTGAGCCCTTCCACTTGAGGAAAGAGGTCCTGCTGGTGAGCAGGACGTGGTGGAAGTTGGGAAAGGCTGGAAGAGCACAGGGTGTGGGTCCTGCTTGTCTCCCACCACGCTGCTTCCCACGCTGTGGTGCTGAGCGACAGGTGGTGGAGAGATGCACTCACTCTGTGTTTGTCCTAGGTGACCCCAGGTCTGGAGGGACAGGAAGGGGAGCTGCTTGTGAAGGGACCTTCTGTCTTCCGTGAGTACTGGAACAGACCCAAGGAGACGGCGGATGCCTTCACGCCTGACGGCTGGTTCAGAACAGGTACAGGGGTGGCTCCCCACAGCACCTGGCAGAGGGGAGAGGGGGGCAGCAGCTCCGGGTCAGCTCCTGGGGTTCCCCAGCTGCTGGGGGGGGTTTGGAAATTGGGGATGGCAGCCTGGGAGTGCAGGCTGAACATGCCCCCAGACACCAGGCTCAAGGAGGGACTTGGCTTGCATTGGCTGTAGTGAGTCAGCCAAGCAATGGGGGATGTTTAGGGTCACTTGCTCCTGAGCATAAAATGCCACTGATTAATGTTTTCTAGGGACTTAAAATTTGCAGACAGGTGGGATTTAGCTTAATTTACCTGGGGACAATGTCATAGAGTCCCAGAATCACTGTGGTTGCAAAAGACCTCCAATATCCTGTGTTCAAAGCCAGGTTGGATAAAGCCTGGAGCAACTTGGTCTAGTGGAAGGTGTCCCTGCCAAGTGCAGGGGTTTGGGACTAGATGATATATAAGGTTCATTCCAAACCCTTAACAATCTGTGAATCCAGCAGTCTTTGAAGCATGGAGTCCAACCTGTGACCCATCACCACCTTGTCAACTAGACCAGAGCACTGAATGCCACGTACAGTTGTTTCTTGAACACCTCCAGGGATGGTGACTCCATCACCCCCTGGGCAGCCCCTTCCAATGCCTGACAATCCTTTCTATAAAGAAATTCCTCCTGATGTCCAACCTGAACCTCCCCTGGCACAGCTTGATTTTGTTCTATCCATCTATTCCATGACATCCACAGCCCTGACTTCCCCACTCCCCCCTGTGCTGTGTGTTAGCAGTGCTGCCGTGTCAGGAGTCAGCCTGGATTTCTGATGCCTTCTGTGTAATCTTATTTATTGAGGTTCTTGAAGAAGCTGTGATTTATTCTCATTGTTCTCCCGAGGCAGCTCTCACTGCCAGCAGTGTCACCACAAGTCCCCACACCAGTCAGGTCCCTCGGGCTGGGGCTGGAGCACCCCCAGCCCCTGTGCAGGGTGCAGGGCAATCAGC